GAGGAGCAGGAGGAGGAGGAGGAGGTGGAGGGAGGAGGTGGACGAGCAGGAGGAGAGGATGGCGAGGAGGAGAGGAGGAGGAGCAGGAGCTGAGGATTGAGGAGGAGGAGGAGCAGGAGGAGGAGCAAGATGAGGAGCAAGGGGAGGAGAAGGAGGAAGGATGGAGGAGGAGAGGAGGAGGAGGAGGAGGAGGAGGAGGAGGAGGAGGGGGAGAAGCAGGAGGAGGGTCGCGAGGAGGAGCCCCACTGGCGGGCACGATGCGAAGCGTCGGCGTGTCCCCCCGCAGCGCGGAGCGCCCACGAGGCGCCCACGGGCGGGCACCAGGCGAGAGCTCGGCAGACCTCCCCGGCCCCGGGCGCCCCACGGGTGGGCACCGGCCGTAGTCGCGCTCGCGGCGATGCGGGTAACGGCGATGTAGGTTTCGGTATCGTGGGGGCAACCTCCTCCTCCTCCTCCTCCTCCTCTTTCCTCCTCCTCCCTTTCTCCTCCTCCTCCTCCTTCTCCTCCTCCCTCCTCCTCCTCCCCCTCCTCCCCCTCCTCCTCCTCCTCCTCCTCCTCCTCCACCCGGTATTGTAGGTTTCGGTTTTGTGGGTTCTGGTATTGGGCTTTCCTGCGATTTGCTGTACCGTGTTCGTCCGACACATCCGCCGACCGGAGATGTAGGAAAGTGTGCTTCGTGATTTCGCCGTTTCTGTGTTCTGCTGAACGCCCTATTGTCCGGGGGGTTCCGGCCTGCCCTCTGACGCTCGATGCTCTCCGACGCGTGGCGCCCCCCAGGTATCACGACCGCGAGTATCGGGTGAACTCGCCCTACACGCAGTACGACGGGCTCGAGGACGTGCGCGGGCCGGGCGCCCAGGACCTGGACGCGTTCCTCGCCGACGGGGAGGACCTCGTGGACGAAGACCTCGTTGCGTGGGTCGGGGTCGGCAAGGAGCACATTGTCCGCCAGGAGGACCTCCCCCTCGTGTCCAACTTCGGCGTGGGATTCTCCCTCGTGCCCTGGAACTTCTTCGATGGCAACGTGGCGTCGAATCCGCCCGGCTCTTGAGCGCGTGGCTCGCGCTCCCAGCGAGTGCGGGCCAGCAGGATTCTGGCAGTGCAGGTACATAGAGACGGGGAGCGACAGAATGAGGCTCCCCGATTCGGCGGGAGGGCACGTGCGGGCCACTGAGAGGCTTTCAATACGATGTCTGATCTCATCTTCTGTTCTCTTCCCCGTGAGTTCCCTTTGTTTGATCGACGCATCTTTCTCTACCCGTGGCATCGTCAGCTCTGCTCGCGATGGGTTTGGCGTGTAGTGCCCGTTGCCTGAGCCCGCTTGTCCACCGACGAAGCGCTCGGTGCCACAGCGGTACATTTTGAGCCAGCCCCGTTATTTCGAGCGCTCTGCCAGAGAGGGCAGGCCGGCATCGCGCGCTACACAGTTAGTGCCTGCGCTGCTGCAAAAACTGTCCGATCTCAGTTCCCCGCCATCGACACCTGTACGCAGCACCCCGCAATTGCGGATAAGACTGAGGGGGCGGGAGCGGGCGACGCGGGCGTCGAGCCTGCGGACCTCATGACCCTCACCTTCCCTGTCGATGGCGCCCTCCTCCTCCTCCTCCTGCTCCTCCTCCTCCTCTTTCTCGTCCGCGTCATCGTCCTCATCGTCGTCGTCGTCGTCGTCGTGTCGTCGTCGCCCGCCTCCTCCTCCTCCTCCACCTCCTCCTCCTCCTTATCTTCCTCCTCCTCCTCCTCTTCTTCCCCACTCCCGATCCTTCCCCCTCCTCCTTTCCGTCGTCGTCGTCCTCCTCCTCCTCCTCCCCCTCCTCCTCCCTCCTTTCTCGTCGTCCCCCTCCGTCCCACCCTCCTTTTCCTCCTCGCCCTCGTCGTCGACCTCCTCTTCGTCGTCGTCGTCGTCGTCGTCGTCGTCGTCGTCATCGTCGTCTTCCTCCTCCTGCTCCTCGCCCTGCTCTTCCTCCCCTCCGCTGAGCGCGCGCGCGCCGGGTGGGTGGGTCGCGGGCTTGTTCAGTGAACGTAGTTTGGGTCGCGAGTGGGTCGCGGGCTCTCCACCTCCACCTGGAAGGAATTCAAAAACAGCCCGCCGCAGGCGCCGAAAAATTTGATTTGTACACTGAACGCGGTTTGGGTCGTGGGTGGATCGCAGGATCTCCGCTTGGAACGAATGGAAGAGCAGCCCGCCGCAGGCGCCGAACATTTTGGGCGGGTCGCGGGGTGGGTCGCGGGTGGGTCGCGGGTGGGTCGCGGTGGGTCGCGGGGGGTCGCGGGTGGGTCGCGGGTGGGTCGCGGTGCGGTTGGGTCGCGGGCGCGGTTTGGGTCGCGGTGGTCGCAGGTTCTTCACCTGGAACGAATGCAACAAGAAGCCTGCCGCAGGCGCCGAAAATTTTGGGTGGGTCGCGGGGTGGTCGCGGGTGGGTCGCGGGTTGGGTCGCGGGTGGTCGCCGTTGGGTCGCGGGTGGGTCGCGGTGTGGGTCTCGGGGTGGGTCGCAGGCGGGTCGCGGGGTGGGTCGCGGGTGGGTCGCGGGTGGATCGCGGGTGGGTCGCGGGGTGGGTCGCAGGTGGGTCGCGGGGTGGGTCGCGGGTGGGTCGCGGGTGGGTCGTGGGGTGGGTCGCGGGTGGGTCGCGAGGCGGGTCGCGGGTTAGACGACGACAACAACAAACAACAAACAACAAACACCAACCAACAAACAACAAACAACAAACAACACACAGCAAACAGCAAACAACAAACAACAAACAACAAACAAACAACACACAACACACAACAAACAACAAACAACAAAAAGACATCAGAAACAACAAAAACAACAACAACAACAACAACAACAACAACAACAACATCAACAACAACAGCAACAGCAACAACAACAGTAACAATAATCCGCATCGTGGAATTCCACTTCACCCACGCTCCCAGGGACAGTGAATGACCGTTCGGCTCAGCCCCCTCACTCTGATGAGTATGCGCGTGTCTGTCTCAGAGAATGGCTGGGCGGGCTAGTGCCAGTGGCCATGTCAGCCGCCTCGTGTAAGTTCTGCCTGTCGGGGATGATGCGTGTTGACTGCGGTCGTACCATACATGTGGGTGGCGTGCCATGCGGAACCTTTGGGGGTCTCGATGTGAGGACACAGGGATGATGAGAAGAGTCAGGATGAGGCGGAAAGGGCAGTGGGGGCAGTGTGAACCAGTTTGGGGAAGGGGTGGTCGGTACAACGGCGATTTCGAAGTGCTATGCCATATTGAATTCTCTCACAAGCGTCTCCTCCCCCCCCAATCCTCCTCCCCATCTCAACTGTAGCCTGAGCGTTCAAATCACCCAGATGTTCGAGACGATCTCGGAGGCGCCAGGCTATCTCTAAGCACCGCAACACTCAGTACATGTAGGCCTGCAGGCCGATGGCGATTTCTGCTTTGAGGGTGCTGGCGCTGCTCTGGCTGCGGGCCGGTCTGACCGACGCGCTGTCCATGAGGGAGCTGGACCCGACGCACCAGCAGGCCGAGGTTGACACCAGCGTTGAGGCAACGAATCAGGCTGAACATGGTCGTCCTGAGCAGAGAGCCGTGTACGAGAGGCACAGCGACCTCCAGGACGCTGACGAACTCGAGCAGCACAGGCAGATTTACCGCGGGGTGGGGCAGCTGCTGAGCGGGTCTCAGACCATGCGCCACTCGAGGCACATCCTGCAGTTTGTCATGTCGCACCCTCATGCCCCCGCGCTGCGCCAGGGTGGGTGCCTGTACCTCCCCAGCGACAAGGTCTGGGCGTCGTTCTACCAGCACGTGGAGCACCCGTTCCCGCCGCTTTTTGGCGAGATGATCGCCAATTCGTATTACCCTGGCTGCAACGAGACATCGCTATCTGGCTTGAGGCTCCCGCCTTCCTGCGGCCCCGGCTCCCTGCGAGGCTCCAGGGGCTGCTTCCACGTGACCAGCCTCGGCGGCACGGCTGGCGTCGAAATCTACGAGACTTAAGTCGGGCATGTCCCTCAACAGGAGGAGTACTCAAGCACAGTAGAAACACAAGTCTGGTGACGATGTGCCGTTTTTTTTATGCATTGGTTTGACTATTGTCTGACTTGTTTTGTATTTCTTCTCGCAATCCGCCTGTAGCAGGACATGCCCGACCTAAGACGGGACCCACGGTGCCGTCGGGCTGCCGGACAAGTGGTCCTACCACATCACGCACGCGAAGCCGCACATCGGCGGGAGTTCCAGGGAGGGTGCCATAAGGGGGGCCGAGTGCGGCCGTGACCTGCCCGAGGTGCCCAAGGCTCACAGGCTGGAGATCCCGACCAGGTACGTAGTGTGCAAGAAATCGAACGAAGACGACTCTATCACCGAGGAGCACGTGAGGGAGCAGAACAGGTGGGCCAACGAGGCCTTTGCCGGCAGGTCGCCATGGCAACACATGGACTTTGACAGCAAGCACCCGCCCTCCGTGGACATGCAGATCAGCTTCAAGCTCATGAACATCACCATCGTGACCGACAGCGCGTGTGCGCGCGAGGGGTTCACGCAGTCGCGGATGGTGCAGAAGTACAACCAGAACGCGGGGGATGATTTTACTGTCGTCATTATCACGGACGACCAGTCTGGCTTCTTGGGCCAGACCATGTTCCCGCATGGCCAGATCATGGTCGTGGTGTCGTCCGTGGGGTTCCGTGGCCATGCTTCACGGCACCAGGGGGACATGATGTACGATGAGGGGGACACAGTGGTGCATGAGGCTGGGCATGGATTTGGCTTGTACCACACCTTCGAGGGCGGCTGCTCGAGAGACGGCGACTACATCGACGACACGGAGAAGGAGATGATGCCGCATTACCAGTGCGTCCGCGACAGCTCCTGCGGCAGTGGCGCCGACCCGGTCCACAACTTCATGGACTACTCGCCGGACATGTGCATGGTGGGCTTCACGGAGGGGCAGAAGCGGCGCGCGTGGTGCGTGCTGGAGACCAGCCAGGCCGGCCTCTTCCAGAAGTCGAAGACGTGGTGAGAGCATTCGCGGCGCGCACAAGGGGGTGGCGTGAGGGCGGCGGCCTTTCAAGAAGGCGGCGGGGCCTCTTAGAAGGAACGGGTCCTCTCAGAAGGGCCCAGAGGCTTCCAAGACTGTTTCTGAGAAGACGGCAGGGCTTCCAGTAAGCCACCTGCTTGCTTAGAGACCCCCCTACGCCTCCGAAAGCGGCTGCCCCCTCACGCCACACCCTTGAGCGCGCCGTCAAACGGTCTGCATGCCGTCGTCGCCGCGGCATCGGCATCCCCCGTCTTCGGGATGGCCTGGGAGCGCTGCGGCTGGGCTGCGGAGCGACAGCGCCTCGGCCGTTCGGGCTGCACCCTTGCGGCAGGTTCGTGCGCGAGGTCGGAGCGTGCGATGCGCCCCATTTTGGCGGGCGGACCCAGCGCCCGAAGCCCCGCGGTAGTCGCTTCCCGCTCCAGCCTCCCTCCCTCCCTCTCCCTTTCCACCTCCATTTCCAGCCCGCCTCTCATGCCATCAGTCCTCCTCCGCCCCCCGCCCTTGCCTCGTCCCCCTCTCCCAACCCTCCTCCTCCTCCTTCTCCTCCTCCTCCTCCTCCTCGTCCTCCTCCTCTTCCCCCTCCTCCTCCTTTCCCCCCCCCGCCCCCTCCACCCTCCATTTCCTCCCCCTCCTCCCATCAAGTGCGCGCTGCACTGTGCACGGTTTCTGCTGTTTCAACCCGAACGTTTGGTGCCGCCGGCGCCACCACAGAGTCCACAGAGGGGCCGCGCCTGGGCGCGCGTGCGAGCGTCGTGTCCCTTCTTCCCCTCCTCCTTGCTCCTCCTCCTCTCCTCCTCCTCCTTCTCCTCCTTCTCCTCCTCCTCCTCCTCCTCCTCCTTTCTCCTCCTCCTCCTCCTCCTCCTCCTCCTCCTCCTCCTCCTCCTCCTCCTCCTCCTCCTCCCTCCCCCTCCTCCTCCTAGGCGACGTTCGCTCCTCCTCCTCCTCCTCCTCCTCCACCTCGTCCTCCTCCTCCTCCTTCTCCGCTCCTCCTCCTCCTCCTCCTCCTCCTCCTCCTCCTCCTCTCCTCCTCCTCCTCCTCCGTCCTCCTCTCTCCTCATCCTCCTCTCTCCTCCTCCTCCTCCTCCTCCTCTTCTTCTTCCTCCTCCTCCGTAGCAAGTCTGGATCAAGGTGATGTGCTTGCCGGGCATTCAGCCTCCGAGCTTGCAGGGATTGCTCTACCGAGCACTGCCTTCAACGCTTCCCCTGGTCCGCCCCAGGGTGAGTGCCGTGGTGGTCCGCCCCACCTCGGCACAGCTTTCCGCAGGCTCCTGGGGGAGCCTGCGCCGTGCCGCGCCGACCCATGGGCAAGCAGCCGCATGGGCAAAACAAGTGCCACGCCAGGACTTACAAGTACAAGTGGAAAGGGCTGCGAGGCGTGCTACAGGTGCGCGGCGCCGCTGGAGCTCCCGCCTGCGCCCCGGCACACGCCGCGCGGGGCCTAGAGTTCTTACGACGACATGGGCGCGGGGACGAGGACCAAGTAGGGCCGCGGGAAAGGCTCGGGTGGGGACCTGCTTCCGCCTGGGGACCCGCCCGCGCTGGCCTCAACGTTCCTCGTCCTCGAGAGCCGTGTCGCACCCGACCAGCTCGACGCGTTGCAGGGCTTCAGGAAGCGGCTGAACCAGCGCCCAAGGAGCAGCATGAGAGTTCGCATGCCAAGGACCAGCGTCTGGTGGCGGTGGAGCAGCGCGCCAACCAGTCGCTCGAGCAGGCGACCACGTCGAAGCACAAGGCGGTCGTTTGGTTTGAGCTGCGTCGTGCAAACACCGCTGCTGCCGCCGAGGCGCTTGCCACGGCGAAGGCGGACGTCGGCGACACCCTCGCTCCCATCAGCCGTGGGCGCGGGGCCGAGGCTCAGGAGGCGCCTGCGCCAGCGCCTGCAGCGACAGCTATCAACCTCAGTAATTTGCTGCGCGACGACCTCGACCAGATCAAGTACGACCTGGATGATTCCGAGAAGCAGCAACGGGACGAGTTCAAGGCGGCCTTCGCTCAGGAGATCAAGGGCAGGGTCAAGGAGGTCTTCAGCACCAGCGCCGAGGCGATCAGGGCACGGCGCGCGGAGCTGGCGGCGATGCGCACGCACCTTGCGGCGAAGCACCGCCGCGCAGAGGGCGGCGGCGCCGCGGCGTCCGGCTCCCCCAAGGCCGCGACAGCCGGCAACTAAGCTGCCGCGCCGCGCGCGGGCGGAGGACCACCCCTCGCTGCGCTGGCCCCAGGATCGGCCTGGGAAGCGCCTGCGGGCGCTGGCGCGGGCGGCGCTGCTGCTTCTGGCGATGCTGCAGCCGTGGCTCAGGCAGCTCGGCAGCGGGCCGCCGCGACAGCTGGCGGCGGCGGAGGCGGCCCCCCTGCGGGCTCCTAGCCCGCCGCGCCGCCATGCGCGCGGCGCCGCCAGGGGCCGCTGTGGCCAGAAGCTCCACCAGAAACCGGGGCTGCAGCTGATTGGTTTGAATGCTAACGCCTGGTCGTCTGCCGTCGACTACACTGACGAGGCTAACGACCTGGCAGCCTACCGCATTTTCTTTTTGCAGGAGCTGCGCCTCTCCCGTTCTGGCGTCAGCAAGTGGAGGCAGCACGCTGCCAGCGTAGCTTCATCGCCGACTCCGCACCCTCCGCCGAAGGCGCTGGCGGAGTTCGAAGCGCGGGAGCAGGTCTGCTCGTGCCGCGCACCATGGGAGTTACGGTCCTGGAAGGCAGGAGTCGCTAGGAAGGATCGCAGCTGGGGCCGCCAGGAAGGATCGCAGCTGGGCGGGCCCCAGCCGGACAGCCGGGCGGGCCCATCATGGCGTCTGCCTATCTGTAGACGAACGAAGGATGGACAATCAGGTTTTCGTTTATACTTGAAACGATCGGAGGTTTTATCGCGCGTTGCGGGCTGCCGTGGGTTTTGCAAGTTGACTTCCGCAACGTCGTGGGCTCGCTGGAAGGCGCGGGCTGGCTCGAGGACGTTGCTGGAGTACCCCCAGCACCAGAGCAAGTTACGTGCGCGGGGCTTGGCGGCGGCAGGACAGTCGATTTCTTCGTCGTCGACACGTCGATAGCTGCTGCATGTGGGAAGGCCACGGTCCTGGACACCTCGGCCTCCCCGCGGTCGCCCGTGCAGGTCGCGCTGACTCGCGCATCCGCGTCCAGCGCGGCTGGCGACTGGCCCGCCCCGAGCCTTTCCCCGCGGAGTTGCCCGCGGGGCGCCCGTCGCAGCCGCCTCGGCGGCCATACTTCGGAGTCAATCTCGACTTGGCCGATGAGGATATGTTCCACAAGTGGCGGCTCGTCTCCCAGTTGGCAGGGCGTGGGCTCGTCGGTCTCTGCCACCTTGATAGCGGAGTGGGTTATTGCGGCCGAGGCGACTACCCCGGGTGGATTTCCCTTCCACTGGTTGGCCCGCAGTCGCACGGGCGACCGCGGGCCAAAGTTGGGGCCGCGGTAGATCCCCCCCCCGGGCTAGAGAAAATTTGGCAGGAGCTTTCAGATGACGCTTGCAATGCGTGCAATTTCGGGGTCAGCAGGACCTCGCGCGCTGGTGTACTTGCAGGCGCCACTGGGCGGCGGCGCCAAATGGTGGGGTCGCGGGAGATGCCGCGGGCTCGGGCTGGGCCTTCCCGGGCACCCCCTCGCCCCTCCTCCGGGAACAGAGGCGCGCCTGCGTCAGAACTGGGGCTGCGGAAGGCAGTTCCGCACCTTCAAGGGCCAGGGGGCTTTCGTCAGGATGCCCTGCCGACGGGCGCCCTCGATGGATATCCGTTTGTCGCCCGCCCCGAGGGCGGCCCCCTTGCAGCTGCCGTTGAGCCGATGCGTGTTTCTGCTCGCTGGCAGTCTTGTTTCGCGGCGATTGCGGCGCCTTCTCGAGCGGCAGGGCCACCGACATCTTAGCGGACTTGCGAGGGCCAGCTCGTCAACTCCCAGGCGCGGCGCAGACGAGGCGAGCAGCTGCGGGGCCCGCGCCCCTGCGCTCGCCGGCGCCTGCGCGAGGGCCCTGCGGTCGCCCTCTCGCCGCGGGAAGTTCTGATGCGAACGCCCCCCTACAAGTCTGGTCTGTCTCATCCGAGGGTCGATAGCCATCACTTCGCTGATTTTGGGCCCCGGGGCCCACTGAGGCCCCAGGGGCCTCAGATTAGTGAAGCGATGTTTTTCCCCGCGCAAGGGCCCCGAAATTCATCGCTTCACTAAGCCGAACCGAGGACGAAAGTCAAGGGCCGAATTGCTGCTGCGATGCCACATCGGCTTCGTACCTCAGCTCCGCGGGCGGCGCGGGCGGCGAGTGGGGCGCGCGCCGGCCCGGCCCAGAGCGGGCCCGAGCGCCGCCCCTCGGAGCCCCGGGCGATCTCGGCGAGCTGCGTCGCGCCACTCGGGGAAGGCGCGCGCCCCCTCCCCCTCCTCCTCCGCAGCCAGTTCGGCTCAAGCCAGTTTGGCTCGAGCGATCGACTTCTCGAGGTGGCGCGTTGCCGCGCCGCTCGGGGATGGCAGAGGCCGCCCCAGGCAGATCCTGGAGCCCCGATTCTCGATCAGTGTCGCACGCAAGCACGTTGCCACTGAAGCCCATGGACCCCTTCCGCTTTTTTCGAACTTCCACGGCTGACTTGGAGGCCACCGTGAAAATGCTGGAGGGGAAGCACGAGAAGCATGGTCGCGACCGCGCGACGACGACGCCGGCCATTGGGAATACGGACAACTCGGGGAAGGAACGCATGGCTCTCAAGCCCCAGGTCGAAGGCATCCAGGCCCAGATGCTTGAGCTCGACAATAAGCTGAACGGCAAGCATGACGAATGTACGCAGGCAGTCAACACTTTGAAAGTCGACGTTTCCGCGAACGCTGCTGTTTCTGACTGTGGCGCCTCCTCTTCGTGGTCTCAAGGATCGAAGCGCCGTCGCGTTGAATGTTTCGCTTGTCTTCGCTACCCGCAGCTTTTTCGGTGCATGCTGAGTGGTCGTCTTCCAATGTTACTGACTGCAGGCGCTCAAAATTCCGGTCGTCGGTGGATC